GTATCCGCAATATTATGAAATTCTTGTAGCACAATAGGTGCAGTACCCGGACAGCGGTGAAGCCGGAATTTATATTTATAGAGCGCAAAGTTCTGAACAGGACAAACAATTCCCAAAGACGTCTTGGCGGTAACGTCAATAATAGCAACGTCAATACGAGTTATGTGTTTCGCACGTGCCTTCGAGTACAATTGATGTCTCGAGTATAAAAATGTCATAAGTAGAACCGCCGCTAGGCACTTATAACTAGCTGGAAAACGGATAATATTAAATTTGAACTTGACGGTTTAATATACGAAGCTAATCGATGCCGCAATTGAATTCGATGCCAAAAATAAAACACGTAAAGCAATAATAAAACCAAATTTTAAGACATCATATATTTGTGTACAAATAATTGGAATTAAATGTTTGGTAGTTTAAATTTTCAAAAATCAACAAGGTTTTTGAGAAAAAGGCATTTTCTTTTCTTAAGCGAGAAAACTTCATAAATTTGAACTTAAAAATTAGGTTGCAAATATTTAGTTAAAAATGCAAGCTGATAAAGCCGTGTTTTTCGTTATTAGTATTGTTTATTGTAACGTTAAAAATTATTATTTCTGTCGACTTTTTTTTATTTTTTATAATTTTAAACCATATCAAACGTTGCTAGTCTATCTAGTCACCGTTAATAGGGGCGTATAGTTATTATTTTTTTTTTACTTTGTATTATGCTTATTATACTAATAACTTCTAAGTATAGTCGAACGATTTTAAATTACAATTTTTCACAGTTAGAATATCCTATTTCTATTATAGAAAATTAGTTCTTGTCATCGAGAGATGTATAGAATTTTCAAATAGGGTTTACAGATAGCCAAAGCAAATATACTTTAACTAAATAATTATTGTTGTGATCCATATTTTAACGAGCTTTTTTTAACACGCTTATATTAGCTTCACTTGTATGTATGTTTGTATGTAACTATGTAACTAAAAGAGATAGGCAACCGAACGTACATGTGTGTATTCATTGTTGTTTACCTGAAGTTTTCAAGTAATAGAGACACGTATGTACTAGAATTAAAAAAACACGATTTTAAAGCACATCGAACTAAAAAGTGGAAAATAAATATAGTTTAAAAATACTAAAAAACACGCTTAAATAGTAAAGTAAACTAAAAAGTAGAAAATAATTTTCAATTTAGAAATCAATTAATAAAAAATAAATAGTATTATTGTGAAAAAAGCGTGGGGTGCTACATATATCAGTTCTTGAAAAGCGCCCCACACTTTTTTCACAATAATACTATTTATTTTTTATTAATTGATTTCTATATTGAAAATTATTTTCTACTTTTTAGTTTATTTTACTATTTAAGCGTGTTTTTTAGTTTTTTTAATCTATATTTATTTTTTTACAATTAAATTGTTGTAATAAGTTGTTGTAACTATGCATATTATTAAAAACTTTGCCGGTTTAGTGTCGTTTTGAAATACAACATAAGTGGCAATCTAATTTAGATAAACTTTTAAACTTATGACAATGACACGGTGTTTTGCTCGATTATTTTGTTTTTTTGTCGAAAGTCCGGTAAAACATAACGGAAAAAAGTTAGTTTAAAAAAAAACTTTATTACTTAATACACAACAATAGGTGTGTCGAATTAATGACAAATGCCTATATGTTTATCCGGTCGGTTGTTTGCGTTTGTTCCAATACTATTATTGTACAAAGTTTTGCGCCGAATAAACATCCATAATATTGTAATAATGTTATAAACCGAAAACTTTCACCATAGGTGTGTACTAGCTCTTGGGAATCCGGGCGGTATTGTACCACAGCACAACAATACGACGGTACCTACAGGTTGAAACAGGCGTATGTAAATTAAGAGGCCAAACGGCCGGGAAACGTTTCCCTCGCTTAGCAACTCCTGTGCGCAGACATGGAAATAATAATTTGTTTATTTTTATATTTTATACTTTTGCCGCGTAACGTGTACTATTTTTGTACCTGGTCCGTCGTAAATTTCGCACGCAAAAGCGCAAAGCTGTATTTTTTTTTTGAAAAAAAAATCAACTAGCATATATTGTCGATTTTGTTTGTTGCTCGTTAATATTCATGAGATGGACTAAACCCGTGAAAACATTACCAGAGGTCGGTTTTACAACACACCTATACCGCGGGGAGTTGTCTCGGTAGCCGCCACGTTCTTTTAACCTTTTTGCCAATTTTTTTCCTGTTTTTTTTTTTTTATTGCCCTTGGCGGGCGGAAACAAAAAAACAACGAACTGCCTTTGAAACTGCCGGAGCTAATGGCCCGGAAACCCTTTTCCGGTTATTGTCGTATTTTTACCATCCTAGAGTCCTTTATTTGTTTAAAGCTAACGTGTACGAAACGACAACAAAATCGAGGCGGGGAGGATAACGTCCAAACAAAAAGTATAATACCACAATAACTAAACAACCCCGCTTGTAAACAGTCGGTAACGGTAATAATACACGGTATCGTCCAAACGACCAACTCGTGTACTGTTTTTGTAACACGAAACATGTCTTCGTTGTTTTTATAAAATCGCGAAAACGTGAATAAAACTAATTAATTCCCACCGAGAAAAATACTAAAGTGTATGTTATTCAATGTTATTTTGCGCGGTTAAGGGTTTTTTTTTTTTAAATTAAAATATTTAGAATATAACATTACAGTTGAACACTATACTGGCTGTGAACTGGTTTTGTTCTATAGTCAAGTGTTCAAAGACGCGTGTAAACTGTAAAGGTGGGTTTCTGCTTGAGATCTTCGAGTACACGGATATATGTGTTGGTATAGACTATACAAACACATACACATTGCCCCAAGCGTATGTGCATAAGGCTTAGCAACACTAATCGAGTTAACCCCGTTGAAAAATAAATGAAGAAACGAAGTCAACAACGGCGTCTGTGCGTGGAGTTTGTTCGAAAAGTCTCAACGCCGAAATTTTTAATAATGTTATTCCGTAATCGAGTTAACATAATATAATTTAATACAGCCGATGTTGGGGTACTGTGGCGAGCATATTAAGTAAAAATCATACACAATTCGACAGTTTGGTTTTGGTACGAGCCCAGTAACGTTATAGCGTTGTTTATAAAAAAAAAAAAAAAAACACCAGCACTTTTTGGGGTTGGGGACATAGTGGGGGCGGGAGAGAGCCACTGGTTTACCGAAAGTGATAAATTCGTTTTATATTATGTGTAAATGGATTTGTATGCATATTGTTTTAAAGTACAAATTTGAAAAAAAAGTAAGTACAGACACAACCGCGTCCGTTATAAATTATTCTATTAACGAAAATGGATTGCAAGTAAGTTTATATACTTAACGCCTATCGCCAACGCCACAATCATAAATAAAAGGATCACGTTTTGAATACGTAATTTTTGATGAAAATAAATAAAAAAACAGAAAACGAGCAAACTAATAAAACAAAACTACTCCAGACAGAATTTCGCCCTTTCCTGACACACACTCGAACCTTGGCCCCTGGCTGACTAATGGCAGGAAATCACATATCCGAGCCTTACAACATTTCTCCAGGCTCCAGCTATCTGCTCCCAGCCCTCATCGTATGCATTTCTTTTCATCCCCTCTCGGTCTGTTTGTTTTCTTTGCGACTCCGATTGGTGTGTGAACAATAATATTTAACTATAGTTAGGTTTTTTTACAAGAATTATTTTTTAAACATCCACAGCAATCGTTGTAAGATAAGATGATTTTAAAAAAGCAGCCGATTGTCAACATTAATTCAAATGATTGTCGTTATTTTTTTTTATCTTTATAGCTGATGATTTACCTTAAGTATTTTATTTTCTTATATAACTTGGCTGATTTCGTCTTAACGTGTTTTGTGCACATTACAAAATAGCAAACCAGTATTTATTGAGTATAGTCTGAGGCTCGGTTAGTTTAATTAAATAATAAGTATCACAGGTCGCATAGTATAGAAGGTTCATATTTTTAACACTAATATTTAATTATGCATGTTCTGTCGAAATAGTCGACAAAAGTATTGATAACATTTTTCCATAATAGAATTTCTTAAAATCTCTTTAATGTAAATCACTGATTTGTATTCGCTTTCTACTCCAACTATAAAGAATCCATTCTGTTGTACAACAAGACTTTCACATAATATAACATTTTTTATTTAGTAAATTTCAAAATTTACCATATTTTACTAATAGCTTAAACCATAGGCCATAGCCATATAGGGTTGTAGATGAGATTGCGGTATTCTTAAATGATTATAACGGGAAAAGCATGTAAGTTTATTAAAAATATAGTTTATGGCTAAGAATGTTACTCAAAACTGTTATATAATCATAAAATTACATAATTATTATACTTGATAAAAACAACTTGAAACTAATAGATATCAAATAAAACAGCATAATATATTAAAAAGTTATTTAGTGATTCACCAATTATAACTAATAAGCACTATATACGGTAAAAAAAAAAAGAAGTTATAGGTTATTTTGTTTATCTTTTGTACGAAATAGCGCCTTAATGAGTCATTTCGGAAAATTAACAGTAATTATCACATTAGTCACAAAAGCGCTGATTCTATCGATAAAACAAAAATAAATTCACTGTAATAGAGGCTATTGTCACTTAACTAGTAATTTAATCAAACAGTGGCGCCACCAGATGTTATTTTTTTAGAGGGTGTTAAAATTTTAATTATAAGCAATTTATAGTGCGCGGTCTAAAAAGCCATGTATAGATTATCATATTAGTATAGGTGACAATGTAGAAAATTATACATCCAAATTAAACTGTAGTTGTTCTTTGGATTCATAGGTCGGGCATATAATAAGCGTTCTGCGCATTTAGACACATTTATTTACAACGCGCTTTACCGCACTGCGCTCGGTCATCTGCGCTTTGTAGCTTTAGAGGCTATTAGGGGGGATTTTTGGGTTTACAGAGTTCGTTTTTAAAAATGAGTACGTTTAACCTTTGAACACTTACCGTTATTGGCGTACAAAAGGAAGTTCATTGACAATGCGGGGGAGTCGCGCGATTTCGTTTGTCAGCGGAAAGTCCAGAACAAATGAGGACGTTCAAGATCCAGAAACACCGCAGCAGAGTTTTCATTGCTTTCTTAGCCATGGCGCAACAGTGATAAGTCGACGACATCATTGTTCCAGATAGACCCGTCCTCGAATTGAGACTAGAAAGAAAATTTACCTGCACAGTGTACACCAAAGTCTAGCGGGGAGGCGCGTCCATAAATTCTAAAAGATTCCGCCCGGATAATGTATGCCAATGCGGTACAAACAAATGTACTGATTAATCAAGTTGATACATATTTTGTTGACACAAACGAGTTAAGAGGGCGTCGCACCGCCCATTTTTAAGGAGTAAAGTATAGGCAATTTTTTTGTATAAAATTTTAATTTAAAGGTTAAACTGTAATGTGTAGTTATTAGTTCGATAACTAGGACTCTGTTTTGGTAGTTAATTTTTTTTTTGGACTACCACAGCATCCTCTTGACAGCGATTTGAAAATGGTTTTTCATCTCTACATGTTTAAGCAGACTGAAAATAACTCGCTTGATTTTGGTTTTAGAGTAAAAGCACCCATTATAAAAATTAAAAGAGAACAATATTCCGGAGGGCAAGACGGTGCGTTTTTTTTCATTATTCTAAGTATAACGCTCAATACATAGTTTAGAAATAACGACTATTTTAATATTTTTAAATGATTGTAACTTTTCAAAAAAGGATTTTTTTTTTAAAAATCCCTCCGGAATATTGTTGTCTTTTAATTTTATAATGGGTGCTTTTACTCTAAAACCAAAATGAAGCGAGTTATGACAAATTTTACTTGTAATCTTGTCGGATTAAAAGATGAATTTTGAAAAAACGCGTGTGTTTTTCGTTAATAATATTTCTATTTATTACACTCGGAGGGCACACGGGAAGAAGAGCGTTAGTAGTCCATGTATGAACATTTTAGAGTATAGCAAAAACAAAGTTCGTGAATTCCTCTGCATCTTGCATAAGAACAAAAAAACAATATCACATCAAGTGCTATTCTAATAAAAGACGTATTTATTTGAACAGTATATTGACTTAAATAAAAAAAAATTAACGGCATAAATTGAAGAAAAAAAAATGTATTTATAAATGGACTAATACCATTATTTTGCCAAACATCGACCAACACAATACGACGTGGGTATATATCAAAACACGTGTCGTTATCGATAAAAAAAGTATAAAAAAAAAAAAAAAACACGGTAGTCGGACTTACGGCCACGGGTTGTCGTCACGTATAATGATACAATAATATACAATAATATACAAACACTGCATGTCGCACCGCGTACTGCCCACTCGGGTCGAACGTGCGGTGTGGTCGCGGGCAGGGTTGTTTTGTATCTATCCGTTTTCATTTATATGATAATGCGAATAACGAAACACCACTTGGCCATTTGTCCGGCACGTTATGTGTATTTGTGCGGGTGCAACGGCGGCGGCGGAATCAGGAATGCGTTATTAGCTCACTTGTTCAATGTAAATATCCCTGCTGTTGCTGGCAGCGTTTATACTACCCTATATTATTATACTGACATGTGTATATCCCCCGCGTGACATGTGTGTACATTACAATGCCGTTTTTGTACACAGCTCGCGCGCAGGTACTTCACCTACTTTCCAAACATGGAAATGCGTTAGCCGCGTTCGGCCAAAAACCGAGCAAACCCGCCGGGCACGTTTAACAACCGATGGCGTGCGATGGTTGATTAATGTAGGTTTCTGTGTTGGTGGGCGGCCTTAACGAAATCAAATGTCTTTTCTCGAAGCGCCCCCCCCCCCCAAAAAACACCTCCGAAACGCATTCTCAACGTTCCTCCAACGGCATCGGTGTAATAAATAACAATAATAATATTGTTATTATTATTAAAACGTGTGCATCGCGAGATCCCATTAGGCTTATAAAATATATATATATAAATATAGGTACAAAATTATTATTATCATCATCATCGTTATTATTGTAAAATATTATCTTCTCCATACGGCTATAAGTTCTAAATCTTTTGCTGCGCGCTCCTTTAAGCATGATTAAGTGTTAAACTTTGTGCTGCCACGGTCGTTACGTCCGCCATAATTCTTCATCTTCAAACGTGTAATGTTACATAAAGAATTTGTATGGATAAATTGCTGTTTTACACATTTTTTTTTTTTTTTTGTTGCTGATGTTCATCATATTGTTTGACAAACACGGCGCTATATTTTATTACCTTGTTGTATGCATTTACATGTATGGGGTGTAATATTTATAGTCATTGATGGCTGTAGTGAAGAAATAGCTCGAAGACATTCAAGAAAAACTGGTTCGAATCTCATAAAATACATATATCGCATAAATATATATATATATAATGTCATAAAATGCTCTATGCGTTCAACTTGGCGGTTATTGCAATATTATTAAAAGCCAAAACAAGTACCAAATTGCTAATTTTAAACTATTATCGTGTAAACCTTTTTTTCAACAAACCGAGTGTCTATTTTGCTTAATTCCTTCCAGCCATTCTACAGCCATTCGTCCTAAGTAGTCCCAGTTACATTTATTTTCGATAGAATTACTTCGACTGCCTAAGTATATGTATTAATACGCACTCTACATTAAATTGAGTTTGTGCGATTATACCTGTTCATATTTTGCATAATACCCATGTTATTATTATTTTTTTTTTTTTATATACATACCTATTATATTATACGAGTTTGAAATTATTATTCTACTTGGATTCGGACTCGGGTAAAATGCAAACAACAATGTATAGATGGGTCCTTTGTAAGCTTCCCGAAGGAAAATAGTATACTAAACCCCAGAAAAGGATAACCCCGGATTTTTTTTTTTATATTTACAGTAGAATTTCCGTTATTTCCATTGACCTTAAAAGGATTACTCTTTTATTGTTGTATATTTATATTTTTAGCTGAATAACAAATCGTTTCTTTTCGCCGATTGTCCGATTTTTCGATTACGCCCGTAAAACGGACATAATAATATACATTATTATAATATATATATATATATATATATATATGTATAGCACGGCCAACGGTCTTTTTTTACACTGTACTACGTCCGTTGGTTTCGACAAAAGCAGATTTTTTTTTATATATTATGTATTTTACATATCACGTATAAAGTATAAACACATCACTTTCAGCTTGGTGTTATTTGAATTTTTCAATAATCTTCTTTGGCAAATTTTTCAACCATAAGTGATCAAAAACTACGCTCAATTAATAACAGCCAATGATATTAATAGTTTTACAGTTAGACTCGCTTCGTAAATAGTCCAGTTATTTGTGATTAATTGTAATGATTGAGAACATTTTGGCATCAAACAAAAGTAGGCTTTTCTTTGAACGATTCGGGCGCTTTTTTTTTTGGACCTTTGCGGCGTCTCTCTCTCTCTAAGACCGGGGCGGCGTATACACCGACGGGTCTAGGACTAAATTGTAATGGTCAATTTTATTTTTACTCTACGTACACAATTGCTATGCGTATGGCGGTGCGGTGACAAAATATGTTTCCCGGTCGCGACCCCTGTGCCCACGACACACCGGCGACCGGGTCGGGCGAGTTGGCGAGGCGCATAATGATAGCGTTTCGTGATGTTCTGTCAGCGGCCGTGTTTGGTTGGAAGGCTGTAAATTAAATTCCTGTTTCAGGAACAACGTCTCCGCTTTGCACGTTGACGACGTTAAACTTAATAAACATTTTCGCCCAAAAACCCCGTTGCTGCACGGTCTGCGCGATTCGATTAAACGAACATTCTATATACGTCCACAAGAAAGTGTCTTATTTATTGCCCGGGGTTCGTTCGCCGTGTACATATTACTATCACTATTAGGTATATAGGTTGTCGGTGATAATTGTTTTTAATAAAAACAATTTTTAAAAAAAAATCCCCTGCGATGGCGTATAGGGTTGACGGGAACGGGGGAGGAAAGTGATAAAAAATAAAAGTCCATAACGCCGAACCGAGTTTCCTTAATAATAATAACGAATTGTTTACCAGCGGCTTATGAGACGACTACTCGACCCGGGTCACGTCCTGCTCGCAATTCGACGATACCTCAGTGGTTATTTTTTTTTTGGGGGGGGGGAGGGGCAATGATGTATCTATATTTTATATATATATCCCGAGGGACTACCGACTGTGTTATGTTCGCTTTGGCGCGCCCAAAACATTTGCCCCCCCCCCCCGACAAGCCGATAATGAAATTCCCGAGCGTTTCCAATATAATGTCGCTTTGGCCGGCCAAAGTCGTTTGAAGTAACCACATAAAACCGCCTTTGAGCGGACACGGCGGGATATTTCCAAAAAACCTCCACCCACTTAATACCTATGTAATAATATAATACCGGCGGCCGTTTATTAGTAAACTATTTTTATTGTACACAAAGGCCCCGGGTCGCGTTATAAATATTAAATAACAATAACAACGATATTAATCGGCCGGACAAAGTTTTGGCCGCTGTTATTGGGTTCCACACACTTGTCGGCCCTAAGTATGCAATAATATGATATGGGGTGGTGCAGGGTGAAACTTTGGAAAAACAGCCGCTTTTCGATATTCTATTTCACGGGTATTTAACATTGTCCGCATACTTTTGTACTCTAACGACATTTATTTCCCTTAAGTACCCGGTAAGATTTATAAATTGATTTCGTTCGTTTTCCTCCTGCTTTAAGTGTCTACAAACAATGCGATTATTAACGGCGATAAGTACTGCAACGGCGTATCACACATCCGAAACTTTTTTTTGGAAAGACACTAAAGTGTTACGGGTTAAGCTGTGAAATATAATGGCGGCACATCCTTCATTCGAAAACAACTCTCCAAGTTAAACGCGGCGATTTTTTCTACACGAAATACATACAACGATTGAGATAGTAAAATATTGTAGAAAGAAACGCGATGATAAAATATGCTCCGTCTATATAATATATACTATGTCCATACTTCTTGTATTTTGAGTTTTAGTCGAATTATGCGATTGACAACGTTGCTAAGCCAAAATTTACTTAATTACAAT